TGGAGACCAGGCTGGCCTCGAACTCACAGAGATCCGCCTGGCTCTGCCTCCCGAGTGCTGGGATTAAAGGCGTGCGCCACCACCGCCCGGCTTTTAGATTTTTATAGTACAACTATTTGTAGTACAAACTAAGTCATCTTAACCTGATGTGATGGTCTTTTGTTGTTGAACTTTGGTACTTGAGACAGGATCTCATGTAGCCTAGGCTGGCCTCAAACTCACTATGGAGCCAAGTAGATAGACTTTCTATTCTTCTGCCTTCACTCTCCAAGTGCTTTTTAAAATATATTTTATTTGTTATTTGAGAGGGGGGTAGGTGCATGAGCACCATGGCAATTGTGTGAGGGTCAGAAGATAACTGTGAATTTAATTCTCCCCTCCCATCTTTCCATGAGTCCCAGAGATTGAACTCAGATTCTTTTTTTTTTTTTTTTTTTAAATTAATTTATTTCATGTATATTGTTGTTTTGCCATGGGTGTTGAGTCTCCAGGAACTGGAGTTACAGACAGTTGTGAGCTGCCATGTGGGTGCTGGGAACTGAACCAGGGTCCTCTGGAAGAGCAGTTGGTGCTCTTGACCTTTGAGCCATCTCTCCAGCCCTGAACTCAGATTCTTTTTTTTTTTAAGATTTATTTATTTATTATGTATACAGTCTTCTGTCTTGCACATATCCATGCAAGCCAGAAGAGGGCACCAGATCTCATTACAGATGGTTGTGAGCTACCATGTGGTTGCTGGGAATTGAACTCAGGATCTTTGGAAGAACAAGCATTGCTCTTAACCTCTGAGCCATCTCTCCAGCCCTCTGAACTCAGATTCTTAGGCCTACATGGATAGTACTTTCCCTACTGAGTTATACCCCTCCCTACCTAAACTCCACTTTTAAAATAGGGCCTTACTGTACCTCAGGCTAGCTCAAGTTTAAAATCATCTTGCCCCAGTATTGAGTCCTGAGATTACAGGAGTGCCACCATACCTGACTATGGTGGGTTTTTTTTGGTCAGTTTGGCCAGTCTACAGCTGCTAGCTATTAACGCAGTCTTGGTGTTACCATGAAGGTTAGTTGTAGGTAAGTCCGTCATCATTTGACCTTGGGGTATTGTTCTATCTAACTAGTGTTCCTGATTCAGTCAAATGAAGGGACTTAAAAGCAATTCTGCACCTTCTGTGATGAGGAAGTTCTGCCTGTGGACAGCATTTTCAGTCCACACCTGAATTCCAGCCTGCCCTTCCTCACAGCCCACCCTATGGGTTTTGTTTGTTTACGTTTGAAACAGAGTCTCATCCATCCCAGGCTCAGTTCAGTCTACTTAAGTAAAAGAACAGCAGTTGTAGTAATATACAAGAGAGAGACAATCCTTAGATGCCACGTTTCAAATTAAGAATGACCAGGACAGAATAAGGTGTATACACTGCTGAAAATTTTGAAAAACCAGGCAACTCCTTAGGCAAATACTGTACAACTGAAACACTGGAGGACAAATCTAAAATGTATTACATTTTAAGGCAGTGAGGGCCTGGTTCAGATTTTTTTCTACATATACATTGTTAGAATTTTAATATCTGCATGAATAGTTTTTTCTTTTCTTATTTTTATTTTTTTGAGAAAGAGTTTCTCTGTGTAACAGTCCTAGCTGTCCTGGAACTCGCTTAGTAGTTCAGGCTGGCCTCAAACTCAAAGATATCTGCCTGCCTCTCTCTGCCTTCCAAGTGCTGGGATTAAAGGCATGTGCCACAACTGACTGGCTGCTTCTTCTTCTTCTTCTTCTTCTTCTTTTTTTAACTTTCAACTTTTAAAACATTTAAGATATGTCTCTCAAATAACAGTTATTTGTTTTTTGTTGTTTTGAGGCAGGGTCTCACTCTGTATCTCAGGCTGCCCTTGAATTTGCTACACACTCTACATTGATCCTTCTAAGTGCTCCAATTACAGGCTAGCACTACTACACTGAACTTTAGATTTTTGATTTTTAGAATACATCCGACAAACTTTGTACTGAAAATACCTGGTCCATTTACATTTAATGTAATTACCAACAGCAAATTTAAATATACTGCAGATGATCCCATAGTGAGCCACACAAAACTCCTTCAGTACTTGAGCAGTTAACCACACAGCTGCTGGAGTAGAAGTAGTACCTTCTCTGTTCTAGGACCTGCTTCAGCTAGAGTGGGACCTTGCTCACTCCACACCTCTTTGTGAGGGTGGAACTCTATGTCCACAAACTGGCCAGGAACAGGGTTAAAGGGCTGGAAGGACATTTGCAAGGTCATCCTAGCTCCAGAGTTCTGTGTGTGTGCGCAGGTGCATACTTTTGGAGGCCAGAAAACTACCTCAAGTTTTATTCCTCAGGAGCCAAATGCAAAGTAACTACATTAAAAAAAGCTGTAAGAAAAGGATGCACTTTAGACTTACAAGTGTGGGTATGCCTGCATACGGAGACCATGAGTGATATTAGATGTCTCCTCCTATCATTCCCTCCCTTATTTGATCACATGGATTAGACTGACTGGCCACTGAGCTCCCGAGTCCTCTCTCCGCCTCCCTGACTGAGGTTACAGGCCTGCATCTCTGTGCATGGCTTTCTATATTGGTGTTGTGGATCCAAACTCAAGAGCTTTACCCACTGAGCCATCTCCCAGCCTGATAACTTATTTCACTACATTTACTTATTTTCATCTCTGGTCAACTACTAGCTCTGTAAGAGCAATATATACTGTTCCTGTTGTATACACACACCAAGGCAACTGGTCTGGGTAAAGTGACATCTACTTATTACACAACCTTTAATGACTTATAACTACTGGAATCTTAAGAATTAGTCCTCCTCCTCCTCTTTCTCCTTCTTCCTTTTCTTCTCTTCCTCTTCTTTTGAGATAGTTTCTCATCATTTATCCCAGTCTTGCATTGAACTTATGATCCTCCTGCCTCAGTCTCCATCATGCTCAGCAGTCGCAAGCCATTATTATTAAAAATATAGTTGTATGATGGGGCCAGCAAGTTGGGTAAAGAGTGGGTAAAAGTGCTTGGCAAATAACTCTGATGCTCTAAGTTCAATCCCAGAACACATGTGAAATGCCAGATGCAGTAGCTCACTCATCAGTTACCTCAGCACTCTTAAGGTGAGCTAAGGGAGAACAAGGAGAATTAGCCAGAAGCTCAGACAGACAGCACAGCATAGAGCAACGGCAGAAACAGGAACATGGAGGAAGGAGAAAACTGAAAGTCATCCTCTGACATTCAAAGCCACATGCTTGCACCCCCAGGAGCATGCACACATGCATGTACGTGTACACACACACACACACACACACGCACGCACGCACGCACGCACGCACGCACGCACGCACGCACGCACGCACGCATGTGTGTGCTCCCCCACCTCTAAAAATTTTGCAGTTTTATAAGATGGGTACAGTTTGAGGTAAGCACCTGCTTGGATGCCTGAGGTCCTTGGTTTGAGCCAGAGTCCCATAAAAAAGAACAAAAAAAAATATATGGTTCTGAAATAAGTGTTTTGATGTATATTGAAAGGTATTAGTAAAAAATAAGGAGTTAACTTAGTCAAAACCTCAAGTATTTAAAATGAGTGCTCTACAACTAGTAAATACTGCTATTAATCTTGAATTGATAAAATTATTTACATAAACTATATTAAATCACTAGGAGAGAAAATAAGTGATAAATATATACCCTTTAGATAAAATTTTGTGTTTGATATGATTCCATTTATTAAAAATATGTATTCTAAGATGGGCATGGCAGCACATGCCTTTAATCCCAGCATCTGAGAGGCAGAGACATGCACATCTCTGAGTTCAAGGCCAGCCTGGTCTACAGAGTGAGTTCCAGGATAGCCAGGGCTACACAGAAAAATCTTGTCTCAAAAACAAACAAAAGTATTCTAGAAAGTCTATACATAGCACACTTATACCCTAAACACTTAAAAAATTTAATATATAATAACCCAAATTTCAAATATATTTGAAACCTAAAACAAAACCCCTTTTTACATTCCACAGTGATACACTGACTTACCTGTACTATATATTTAGAATTGAGTACTAAATTTATCAAAAAGTTAGGGAGTTCAGCACAAGTGTTAGATCAAATTGCCTTTACTGTTAAAGACATTTATTAGTCAGTCCTTACGTAGTAACTATAGTTGGTTACAGGAGGTTTTTCAAAAAACTAAAAAATTTAAAATACTCACTATGATCTTCTTACAGTCCTTCCCTCTGCACAGCTCTGTATAGGTTGAATACTGCACATATATGATCCAGCTTCCCACAAAAACCACCAACCAGGAAAAGAAAAGATACTTCACCCGCACGTATGAGAGACGAGCCTGCAAGGGAAGGACACGTGACAATCACTCATTCGGCAGCAAGTCAGCACTCACGCCCTGAACGGGCACTCTCCTTGCTTAGAGAGGCTCAATGTACAGTCTAGGCTTCCATATGGCACTCTAGAACAAAGTGTATTTTCAAGGAGCCCAAACACAGGTCTGAGAAAAGCAAGTTCCCATGTATGGCCAAGGAAAAGGGAACAAAATACCCTTTAGGATGCCTTCAAATGTCACTACCAGAGCGACTTATTCAGCACAGCATAGTGATACTCCAAGACCAGGAAATGAGAGCTACAGCTTCCCTTTATTAGAAACTGACCAAACACTTTTCATATGAGAATTTTAAAGGGCTTTATGAATAAACATAGTAACAGTAAGATATTTTATCCAGCTGCTGGTGGTACAAGCCTTTGATCCCAGCACTCAGAAGGCAGAGACAGGCTGATTTCTGTGAGTTCAAGGCTACCCTGGTCTACAGACCATGTTCCAGGACAGCTAGGACTACACAGAGAAACTCTGTCTTGAAAAACAAAAAACAACAATGATAACAAAAGGAATGAGTTAGCCAGGTACAGTGTATGCCTGTAATTCCAGCACTTGGGATGAAGAAGCAGGAGAATCAGAAGTCCAAGGTCATCTTTAGTTACACTGAGTTGTCAATCTAGGCTATATAAGATTCTGACTCAAAAGAAGAAAAAATAAACAAACAAAAAAGGAAAATGAATAGAAAAATTCATTCATAAATTACTCCTTGCATGTCAACTAGTAAAGCCACACAACAGGATCCTCTTTGCGTTGTTTTGTGTCCACTGCTCTGATATCTGGCCGCAGCTATTGGTGTCTTTCTACATCACCACAGATCAAGCTGCTTCATCTTCCAATGTGGCACTTGGTCAACATAGCTTGATATTTACTTTTTAGATCGAGAGTTCCTTCGGTTTGATTTAATAAACAGTAGAACTGAGGTCTACAGAGAGAACTGAGCATAATAAATTAAAGACGCACACAGACAATGAAAAGCTAGTTTTGCTTCTACAATCCCGAGCCAGTTTCTCACACTTGGGAAACAATAGAATACTGTGAGCACTATGAGCATGGAAAAAAAAAAAGCAGAGCGAGATGAGAGAGCCAAGGTGCACCTGCAGAAGACAGTGAGTTCAAAGAAAAATACCAAACTCTGTCACATATCTGTCCTTGTGAGTTTTCACAGACAGTGAAAATCCCTGTACCAAAAGCTTGAGCACAATAATTCAGTTAGATGGTAGGTTTTTGGGTTTTAATACTAAATGTAAAAGAGATTTTTGTTTGTTTGTTTTTGTTTTTCAAGACAGGATTTCTCTGTATAGTCCTGGAACTCTGTAGACCAAGCTGGCCTCAAATTCACAAAGATCTGCTTGCCTCTGCCTCTCTGAGATTAAAGAAGTATGGTATAAGAGAGCTTTTAATGCAAAATATTTTTATGTAGCACTAGGTGGACTCATAAAAAAGCTAGATCACATGCAGCACAATGGAACCAAGAGGTCTGTCTAAAAAACTTTGAGATTACTTGGTCGTAACAGGAAGTCTGATCATCAGCTATAAATTGGCATGTGCTAGCATTAGACTCCACTAAGATTAAAGACACATGACTGCAAAACATGAGCACATTGCTGTGCACAGAGCAAATACTAAAAAAACATAAGCTAAAACCTATTTCAAGTCACAGTGCAAGAGACCAACAATGCTGCCACTGGCTACAACCTTCTCTCTGACCTGCAAAAAAGAAGCCAAGATCTGGGTCTGATCAAGTCTCTTGCTGCAACCACCGGTCCACGTGAAATGGTGGAGACAGAGGTAGAACTTGAAGCAAGTGACAGTTTGAGGCAAACTCCAGGATGTGGGAAATATCGCAATACAAAGAAATAATTTCTTCAACAAATCACAAGGGGTAGAGCAAGAGAAGGAGAAACTTAGAAGAAAAAATCGTTAAGCAGATATTTAAGCAAATATATAGTAAATGATTACAACATAGGAATCTTTTTAGAATTCTGACTCAAATTAAAAAAAAAACTGTAAAAAAAACCAAATAAACAAAACAAACAAAAAAACAAAACACCAAAGAACAAAGACCTGAACAAGGAGGACACCAACAGATGTGCTAACCCTGAAGGGAAAGCTCCAGAGAAAGACCTACAGGCAGCTAAGGAATGCTGGGGGGGATGAACAGTCTTCCCCAGGAACAGCTACATTGATGGGTTATCACAATACCACATGGTAAATCCTGAAATCATATTCATACACATAACATGCAGACTGAGCAGGTTATATATTTAGGAATATATTACATATATGTGTACAATTAAAGAAAAAGAAGCCATGAATTTGAGGGGGGTTGTACATGGGAAGGGTCTGAGGTAAGGGAAAAGGAAAAATGGTAAAATTTTAATTTTAAAAAAATTAAGAAAATTAAATTTGAAGGCCGGTATTGATAAATTAAACACAATTTAATCCCAGCCCATGGGAGGCAGAGGTAGTCTGATCTCTGAGTTCAAGGCTAGCCTGGTCTTCATAGAGAGTTCTAGACCAGCTAGGGCTACATAGTGAGACCCTGTCTCAAAACAAAACAAAATGAAACAAAGATAAAATGGTATTTGTGAGACAAGTCAAAGGTTCTCCTTTTTCTACATTTTCCCCATTAAGAGTGTGCATGTGTGTTTGAGTGCCACGCACTGGCCAAGCCATTCTGCCAGCATGCTCCCCTCCCCCCTGCCCCTCTCCTCCACTCTAATTGTTTATGCTGGGGACCAGACTCAGGTTCTGTGTTTGCTAGACAAGCACTCTGCCCCCAAACTAACCTCCAAACCCACCAAAGCACCTCTAATATTTGTGAGACAAGTGGTAATTTGAAGAATGACACAATACTCAATGATGTGAAAAGAAGGCTCCATGAGCTATATTTTCCCACGTGCCCTGGCATATGTTCGAGCTGAGGTATTAATGCTTACCACACACAGAAGGCCAAGCATGCTGTAGAGGAAGTCAGACTAATGGTGTCCTCAGCAGGGTGCTGACCATCACCTGCTGTAGACCTCATGACCAAAGAAGCAGAACACGTTTTTATCCAGCATGCTCCAGAAATTACTGGGTCTTATGAATAAAAATAGTGCAATGACCTTTATGTATCCCTTAATATCTGCAGATAAGCAGCCTTATGTTTTAAAATGATGACTGAACATAGAAATAGCTACAAATTACATCTCTACTAAACTGATTTTCCCCACGTGGCATTTGCTAAAATATTTCTGGTGGTCTAAATTACGTCCTAGAGGCTGGGCGGTGGTGGTGCACACCTTTAATCCAGGCGCTTGGGAGGCAGAATCAGGTGGATCTCTGTGAGTTCGAGGCCAGCCTGGTCTACAGAGTGAGTTCCAGGACAGGCACCAAAACTACACAGAGAAACCCTGTCTTGAAACCCCACCCGCCCCCCCCAAAAAAAAAGAAAGAAAGAAAAGAAGTCACTGGAGATGGAAAATATGCACATAATAAACAACCTTTCTCTGTCAGTCCCATACTACACAGTGGTGTGGTTGGGCACAAGGCCCATAGCCATCCCCAGCACCTCTGTAGTCCTAGCCCTGAGGAGGTAAAGGCAGTAAGATCAGGAGTGTAAGATAAACTCAGCTAGCTATACAGCAAGTTTGGGGCCTGGGTGACATGAGACCCTGTTATGAGAACTGGCTGCTCTCCAGATGACCCAGGTTCAAGTCCCAGCACCCACGTGGTAGGTAACAACCATCTGTGACCCCAGTTGTCTTGAGGAGCCAACACCGTTTTCTGACCTTCACAGGCACTGTGTACAAGTAGTGTGTAGATGTGTGTGGGTAAAACACTCATCCAATAAAAGAAAAATGAAGGGGGCGGGGCAAGGCTGGTGACATGGTTCAGTGGGAAAAGGAGGCTTGCCACCAAGCCTGCCACTGACCTGAGTTCAAGCCCTAGAACCCACATGACAGAAAGAGAAAATGTACTCCCTCCTACAAGTCATGTTATGACCTCCACACAAAGGGCACGCATGGTGGGGAATGCCTACATGTATGTACACACACCTCAACAACGCCAAACAGAAAACCCACAAACCCCAGAGGGATTAAAAAACAGCAATTTGCTTCTTCTTTAAACAATTGCTGACATTACTGTGGTTTGTTTTTGAGACAGGGTCTACATAGCTACCTGTCCTAGAACTGACTATATAGACCTAGCTGGCCTCAAACTTAAGAGATCTGCCTGCCTTTGCCTCCAGAGTACTGGGATTAAAGAAATTCTTACATGAGAGCTGATTTTCCTGAAACAAGTGTTCTAAAACGTCCAAGTGGAAGCTATACCATGTGTGCAGCATTCTTTTGGTTACACAAGACCAGCTGAGAAGAAAATGAAGGACAGAATCACATATGGGCACGATTGCCAGGAGGGCGGCTCACTGAGGGCGTCGGTGTGTGTGCCATGCATGTCTGTGCTGGGGGCGCAGAGGTCCTCATACTCATGGACAAGCACTAGGAGAACCAGGAATGTTAATTATGCAGGGGTGTCTCCTCAATGGAGGAGATACAAATCAAATACCTGCATTCCATCCAGAGAGGTGAGAGCAGAGGTTGTTAATGTACTCTTGACCTTTTTGCTATCTAAAGGGACAGACCTAACCCTAATTCCCTGGAATGACTATGCCAGATTCTTCCCTCCCTACAGCATTAGGGCAGGGAGGGTAGATGTCACAAGTACTTTATGGCCTGTTAACCTCTATGTTTTCGGCCAGAGACCCCACTAGATTCTAAACATGTACTGTGTGAAAGAGTCTCTGTGTAGTCACACCTCAAGCTTTTTTGTGCACCTGGAACTGGACTGATTGGACTGATTGTTGCTTGGAAACCTTCCCCCAAATTGTGCTGTGTTTAAATATGCTGACACTGAACTGCCTGGCATTGGACTCCCTGAAGTCTGATCCAGGCTTATGAAATCAATCTACA